CAAACATAACTTAACATTTGTTGAATATATTTGTATACAGGTTATTAAATGAATAAATAAATGAAAACATATATATAAATGTATGTAATTTTACATATATTATAAACATATAACATATTGTGAAAGCATGAAAAAAATCATATAAAAATGACTTAAAAAATTTGAAATTGAGATACTTGGAATGATCATATGTATATTAACAACTTCTAAAAAATTACATATGTGGTCCATTATCATCATAGTGAAAGTATCACATGGTAGATATATCTAAGAAGTACATGTTTCAAACCTAAATAATCCATTAACACATGAAGCAAGCACGCAGATTGAAGACAGGTTAAATAAAAATTATAAAATATCAAAATTATATATAACTCAAACCATCTTAATTTCTGCAAAAAAATAAAGATAATTACATGTTTTTTAATAATATAACGTAAATTATATCTTAGAAAACATTATTGTAGATTAAGTTTTTCGTTTTTTTATATAATGCATTTGAGGTTTTTGCTACATATTATGCTTATGAGAGTTTCATGATTTAAAATATCATATTGGTACATTTTTTTATGAAATATTCCATAAAATAATATCTGAGCCTATTATTACTAACATTGCCTAATTTAATAATAACTTAATAATTCATTACAATTTGTTGAGACAATTTGACATATTGCTTATATTATGAAGTTTATTATGACATTGTATAGTTTTTTGGATATCATGAATGTTATAATGAGAATAAAAAAGGTGAGTTTGTTGAGACAAAATTGATCATAATGAACTCACCATTTTTCATATATTTTATGAAAACAAAAAAATTTACAATATTACATAATATTTGACTGATTATGATCATAAGCTTCAGAATGTAACAATAAATGATGGCAATCGATAACATTTAATAGAAAGAATCAAATTGTTGAAAACTATGAGAAACATAACCATATTGAAAACTACTTCATGAACTATTTCATTCCAAGAAATAATAAATTTAAATCCATATATATGTTATGAAATGTTTCAAAATCTTAAACATTTTTTCCAAAAAATATTGTTTGTTGTGTTTCTTTTTTTTCATCAAATTCATATGTACTTCATGATTTATGAAGAAATTTGGATAATTGAAGGCTTTTATAAAATAAAACTTTTCAAAAAGAAAAAAATAAAATATTCCATTATGGAACAAAATATATTTTTTTCATTAAATAAAATTTTAATTGTTGAAAAAAATCATCTCAAATCTTATTGAAAAGGAAATTTAGAATGAAAAATATTTATTTTAGCTCCAAACATAACATAACAAAACATTGTTTTGAAAAAATTGCATAAAGATTTAACTTGGGTTTTTTTTTTACCATCATTGCTATTTTAATTGCTTCTTAATTCTATCTTGTACCATAGTGTGCTTGACTTTATACAATATGTGTTTTATGATCATGTAATTAGCTTAAAACAAATTTGTATAACTAAATTTTGTTTGATAATCTTTTGACATCAATGTGTATTTTAATGTATAAATAAAATCATAAGTTTTATCTATTTGTATAAAATATCATTTCAAAAACGATATATTGTGCATATTAAAAATAAATGTTCAATAGCAAGAAAAAAAATTTATTATCTTTTGAAATTATCTATTTCACATTTCTTTATATACTTAGTTCATTCTTACTTCATCATATCAAAATTTGAAAACATATAATATCTTTATGTCATTAAATAAATCTAATTAACTAAAGTTGTAGTTTAATATTTTCACACTTTTTCCACTATAATTCTTAATGTTTTTATTTACAAAGCTGAAACATAATCATACTCCAAACATATTTTATCAAAGTCAATACTAACTTCATATATTATATACATATTTTTTAAATATCACTTGAAACTCTATACTTGTGTTCATATAAACTTTTAGTTGTGACAATGAGTTGTGTTTTTACATTGTATTGACATAATAATGCTAGTTTAATAAAAAAATTTGGCTGTATCATATTCATTTTGACAATGTACTCAAATGAAAAATTACAACTGTTAGTGTTAATTGTTAAAAAAATGCAGAAAATCCATAAACACATATAAAAAGCTAAGCTAATAGCTAAGCTAGTCTCATATGATTGTTGTTGCAGTATTACAGCTTCCATTAGTAGTAGAGAAACACTAGAGAGCTCATGAGGTGTCGGATAAACTATGAACCTTTTTTCACAATTGCTTGAAATAGAGCTAAATCAAATTGATTAGAGCATATCAGATCAGATTACACAATACAAATGCTGTTAATGTGTCCACCACAACTTATAATAATTGCTGCAGTCGCTATCGATGTGCATAATCAGCGAAATATAAGATTTTTTTTTGAAGTATTTGCCAAATTTTTTGAGGCATTTTTCATGAAATACGGCAGCTAATCCGAACGTCGTACAATTAGTCCAATGTGGGAAATTTGCAGCTTTAGACTTCGTGAGCAGAATTGGAAAGGAAAATAGGTCGGAGCTTGCATGATATGAAGAAATTGAAAAAAATCTTAAGGTTGAAATCTAGCGAAAAGAGTGAGATTGTTCACAAAGCTCATCATTTTTTGCAAAATTGATCTAAACAACCTTTTTGCTTATTTGCTGATGAATGAAGTAGTGGAAGTTACATTTCCGCATCAATGATAATGCTTGGGTTGTACACTCATCATCATCATCATTATTTTTGGGAGTTGCTGAATTTCACTTCACTTCACATATAAAAAGACTAAATTTGGCTCTTTAATTCACGGCTACCTATATCTAAGTAGATAAAAGATCAGCCAAGTTAGTCTTGACTCCGCATTGAGACGAGTCAAAACTTGGACTCTTGCAGTCGTTGCGTCATTTTTTAAGCAATTGCAAGATTGATTAAATATCATATAGCTCCATATCAAGACAGTTTTAAACTCCGGCGGTGATATAATTTACTAGATGCACAAGTGATCTATAAGAACTAAAAAAGAAATTGCCGAATGAAGTTGATCGTGTATTTTTGTTACGCAGTAACCTTGCTGATATGAATTATGTTATTTGAAAAGAGTTAAGCATTGTCAAACAACATGGTAAAGATTGCAAGTACGCATCGTGTTTCAATTACAAGAAAATATACATGTTCAAGAAAACCACGTGTACAAATAGTATGATTAATCATAAATGTTTCAAGGTTGAAATATCAAAAAATGAAACAATGAATGTATTTGCAAGAAAAACAATTCCAGGTCACATGATAAGAAGAAAAAAACTTTTGAAGCTACAAATTTTTGCACAATAAATCTTTGATCATTTGCATTGATATACGAACAAGACATGAAAGTGTTAGTTCAAACAACAATGTTGATCATTGGTGTTGCAAGCAATAAGCTACTCATGGTTGATGACATGTTGTATTAATCAGCAATCACCAAATGTATTATAGAGGTTTGCATAATGAAAGTGCGTATTATAGAGACAAAGCATTTATATTGACACATTTACAATGACGTATACATGGAAAGTATCATTGATCTCTTGGATAGATAATATGAAAAATTTAACTTACATATTTGTCACAATGCATTACATGGTTGACAAATTTTATCAGTTTGATTGACCATTGCATGATGAAAGTGCTCATTATAGAGACAAAGCATTTATATTGACACATTTACAATGACATATACATGGAAAGTATCATTGATCTTTTGGATAGATAATATGAATAATTTAACTTATATATTTGTCAGAATGCATTACATGGTTGAAAAATTTTATTGATCATTGCATGATGAAGGGGCACATTATAGAGACAAAGCATTTATTCTGACACATTAACAATGACATATTCATGGATAATATCATTGATCTTTTGGATAAATATTATGAAAAATTTTACTTAGAGATCTGTCACAATGCATTACATAGATTAAATATTTAATCTATTTGATTGAACATTGTATGTCAAATATGTTTAAAAACAAAAGTCACACAACTGTTATGAATTTGAACAAATACAAGAAAATTATGAACATATTTGATATGAAGTATTTGGTGTTGAATAAAATCATTGTGAAGTATTGTGAATTGAACATCATTGATAAAGATGAAATTTCAAGCAAATTTGACTTATTATTGTGCATTGATTGATGTATTTATTGGAATAGAGGAGATTTAGACAAATTTGAATAACAACAAAGATGATGAGCTGGCCCCATTAAAAAAATTGTTGTATTGAGTACACCACAATTTTATATGATGAGTTTGAGGAATAGTTAAAAGAGATTCATGGCATTGGGGCTGAAATCTCAGTTGTTAGTAACCTTGACACTCATATTGAGCTTGAAGTTGGCATGTATGAGAAAAACCCTCAAATAAAAAAAAGTGAGATCTTTGCAGCAATAACCTCAACTTTTCCAGTAATGAGTTGAAAACAAGCACAAACAAACAAAAGAGAACTGATATAAGAGTAGAAACGAGAAGAAGTTTCATGAGCTCAACATGATTCCAGGACATCCAAGAAACAGCCACATAGAAGGTTGTCATTGCGAGAGAAAAGAGAAAGAGTGGGCCGTACTGGTTCCAGGTAATGCTTTCTATTGATATATATGACCCTAAAAAGACAACTTCTATTAAAGTGCGCAAAAACGACCAAATCTCATGCAAAGCGTCGGTTCGTGGGTGGTGTTTTTAGAACCAGTCTCATTCGCAAGGGGGAGGAAAAAGTATCCACGACTAGATTGCGCTGTGTTGCCATGCCGGTGCTGGGCTGCCGCTTCAAAAGCTGGTTTTTAGAAAGTCCGTGGAAAAGCCTGCTTACTACGACAAGAGGCCCGAGCAAAAATAACAAAGACCGAAGTGGTAGCCTGCGAGGGCAGAGTGCGGATAAATAACAGTTTAGGGTTTAGGGTTTACTACAAAACAAAGGAACAGCAAACGTTTGGTCGGGAGTTAATAACGCACCAGCGACCGTGGCTCAAAAGCTCGAGCGCTGCGTTGGGATATCGGGTGGGGCGAAGGAATTTAGGGTACACAGGAACAACAAACAATCCACGACCCCAACGTGTGCTGTGCTCCAGCCCCCGCCCTCTATCTGGTCGGGCAAGCTCGGGCCTGCTGGGCCGGGCTGGTCGGATCTGGGTTTGGTTTGGCTTGGCTTGGCTTGGCTTGGCTTTGGAGTGTTGGCTGAAGCAGCTGCTGCTTCTGGGCTCAGGGTCAGGCTTTGTCGAGGGAGGAGAGAGAGGAGGGACAGGAGGAAGGCAGGGGAGAGTGAAATCACTTTGATCCTCTCGGTGCGTGCTACCGAGAGGAGGTGGAGGAGAGGCCATTATTCAGCGGGTTGCGGCCTTGCTGTGGGCCTTCTGTATGAGGGTGCGAGCCTGGGGGCCTGGCGAAGGGGGAAGAGGATTAGCAGTAGATTGTGGAGTGGGGGTGGTCGTCGACGATGACGAAAGTGAAAACGGTATGAGCGAGGAGGAGCAGCAGCGAAAGGCCGAGCGGAGCATAGGGCGAGCAAAGGGAGAGTGAGGAAGTAGTTAGAATTTGTGGATTTGGAGCGGAGTAGGGCAGGAGGGAGTGCCGGGGGTCGGGGGCGGGGCGCGGAGGAGAAAGGAAGGAAGGTCGGGCATAGGAGTACTCGGCGCGATGGGGACATCGTTGCCCCCGAAGGAGGCGAATCTATTCAAAGTGATTGCGAAATCGTACGAGACAAAACAGTACAAGAAAGGATTGAAAGCCTCGGACAATATCTTAAAAAAGTTTCCGGATCATGGAGAAACCTTGGCAATGCGGGGGTTGACTCTGAACTGCATGGATCGTAAGGCAGAGGCATACGAGCTCGTAAGAAGGGGGGTGAAGAATGATTTGAAGAGCCATGTGTGCTGGCACGTCTATGGGCTGCTATATCGTTCTGATCGAGAATACAGGGAGGCAATTAAGTGCTACAGAAACGCGCTGCGAATTGACCCTGAGAATATACAGATACTTCGGGACCTCTCGCTGCTCCAGGCCCAAATGCGGGACACCGCAGGGTTTGTAGAAACTCGTCGACAATTGTTGACGATTAAACCGAGTCATCGTGCCAACTGGATCGGGTTTGCCATCGCACACCACAGTAATCATGATGCTGCTATGGCTGTGCAGATTCTTGAAGCCTATGAGGGAACGCTTGAGGATGACTATCCTCCTGATAACGATGGTAATCCTCCTTTTCCTCCTGAACGCTATGAACACAGCGAGATGCTTTTGTACAAGGTGACCCTGTTGGACGAGTCAGGAGCTCCCGAGAGGGCGTTGGCAGAGCTCAACAGCAAGGAGCAGAAGATTGTCGACAAGGTTGGATTGAAGGAGCACCGCGCTGCCCTGCTTGTCACTCTGAATCGCTTGAAGGAAGCCCAGGAGGTTTACAGATACCTCCTTGACATGAACCCTGACAATTACAGCTACTACGATGGCCTGCAGAAGTGCCTCGGCCTGTCCCGTGTAGAAAACGGCAGCTATTCACCTTCTCAATTGGAGAAGCTCGTTGAGCTGTACACTTCTTTGCAAAGGCAATACCCTAAATCCTCTGCTGCAAAGCGCATTCCCCTCGACTTTTTGCAAGGGATTGAGTTTGTGGAGGCTGCTAAGACCTACATTACATTTTTCCTCTCCAAGGGTGTTCCTTCCCTTTTCTCAGATATTCGTCCACTTTATGACCAAAGGGGGAAGGCGGATTATTTGGAGGAAATCATCACAGGAATTGAGAGCTGCCTAAAAGAGACAGGATCCTTACCCGGTAAGTCTGACAGTGAACCTCCCCCGACCCTGATGTGGACACTGTTTCTTCTCGCTCAGCATTATGATCGAAGAAGGAAATACGAGAAAGCGCTGGAAAAGATCGACGAAGCCATCAAGCACACGCCGACAGCAATCGACCTCTACCTCGTCAAGGGCAGGATAATGAAACATGCAGGTGACCGAGTAGCTGCAGCTGCCCTGGCAGACGAGGCGCGTTCTATGGACTTGGCTGACAGATTTATCAACAGCGAGTGCGTGAAGAGGATGCTACAAGCAGACCAGGTAGATTTAGCAGAGAAAACCGCGGTTCTGTTTACCAAAGATGGCGATCAACATAACAATCTCTTCGACATGCAATGTATGTGGTACGAGCTTGCATCAGGTGATAGTTACTGGAGGAAAGATATGCTGGGGAAGGCATTGAAGAATTACCTCGCTGTGGAGAAGCATTACACCGACATGTTGGAGGATCAGTTTGACTTTCACACGTACTGTCTACGAAAGATGACTCTTCGAGCCTACGTTCGTATGTTGAAATTTGAAGACACTCTGCACTCTCACCGTTTTTTCTGCCGAGCAGCTGCAGCTGCCATCAAATGTTACGTGAAGCTTCACGATACACCACCGAAGACATCAGAAGGCGAGGAAGAGATAGCCGTAGCTGGATTATCCCCAGCTGAACGCAAGCGGGTTCGGCAGAAAATGCGGAAAGCAGAGGCTAAAGCTAAGAAAATGGCGGAGGAGAAGGCTAAAGAAGACGAGGCATTGGCGTCATCAAATGTTGCGAAGTCAAATAAGAAAGGTTCTCAAGCAACGAAGCAGGTTGATGATGACCCTGATGGTGATAAACTATTACATGTCTCTGATCCTCTGGAGCAGGCTGTCAAGTATGCCAAACTTTTGCAGGACAATTCTGCCGGAGCTCTTGAAACTCACATGCTTGCATTTGAGATTTACTTCCGGAAGAGAAAAATCTTGCTAGCTTTTCAAGCAGTGAAGAAGCTGTTGAAACTGGATGCTGACAACCCCAACGTGCATCGTAGCCTGATTTACTTCTTCAACATGGTGGACAATCTCCCTGGAGCACAATCACCTGCAGAAAAACTTGTGCAAGAGGTCATTTCTGTGGAAAGGGATGCTCTGACCGCTTTGGGTAACAAATCATTGCTGGAGATGAACAAAGCGTTTTTGGAGGCTCACAAGGAGTCTTTGCTGCCCAGAGCTGCGGCAGCTGAAGTTCTCGTTCTCCTTTCGCCAGATTCAAAGGAGGAGGCTGTCAAGGTGATTGAGGATTCTGTCAACCCTCCTGTTGCACCGGGAGGTGCTATTGGAGATGGAGTGGGTGAGTGGGAGCTCGATGACTGTGTTGCAGTACACAAAATTTTGCTAACATCTGTGAAGGATGAGGACGCGGCATCTCGATGGAGAGTGAGAATGGCCGATCTCTTTCCTCATTCCACTTATTTCATGGGTCCCAAGAGCTCAGCTGTATTAGGAGCCGCAAGCCAAGTCCCTTGTTCTTTAAGTAAAAAGGAGGAGCAACCTTAAATTGATTAGTGAGCTAGTAGATTTTGACCCAGGTGTTGGATGTAGATCATAGAGCTGTAGGCGACACAGACCCAAGTGTTTGTGATGTAGATCATTTATCAGGACTGAGTAAATCTGATGCTTGGAGTCGTTGAGCATGTCATTCTTCGACATTCAGCGTAATTTTTGGCATCCCTTGAGCTGAGCAACATGTCAAGCCTCACTCTTGCTGAAATAACACTCCAAGAACGGGATGACATAAGCAGTGAAGAGTTCTGACATGGATTCAAGAGTTCCGTGTCTAGCAGCTATTTATCTCCTCGACTAGTGAACAAAGATCTGAAAGCAAGCGAATCTGAAGTATGAGGATATGCAATTTAGGGTTTTTCTGCACCACCAGCAATTAACATCTGCTGGATTGTAAGAAAGTTTGTGGTTCTTGCAATAGTACCTTTCTGCTCTGATTTCCATGCTACAGCCAATTAGCAACAGCAGATTATCACATTTAGAATGTGCTTCCTGCTTCGTAAACTGATTCAGAAGTACTTTATTTCAAGAAGATGTCCTGGTGATGGGAGAAGAACTTGCAGCACCCATGCTCGCTGCTCGAGTCGATTATGTAGCAACTGTTGGAGGTAAGTGGAATTTTTCGGTAGTTACTGTATTGAATTCAGGGAATTCAACCCACATCACAATCGCATTGTTTGAAAGAGATTACTTTGAAGTCTTCAAGTGCACTGTCTACTGAGTTACTTTTTCTAGTTCTTTGAAGGTTCAATCGCCTGTTCTTCATGTAGGCTGTTTGAGGCCGCATTCTTCTACTTCATTGTCGTATAAACTTGTGTTGCAAGCGTTCATGCCCAGTCTTAGGTGTGTGATGGTTAAGTACAAAGCTTCTATAGTACATACTGTTTTGCAAGGAAATGTAGAGAGGGCTTGCTATATTTTCAAGTCATGTTGTTGTGAACTACTTGTTCCTGGCTCCTTTCCAGGTTTGTGTACAAGTTGCAAACTTTATGCAGAATCTATTTCGCACTAAGAGTTGCAGGGGGCTCTCGTTGGATATGACTAGGACTATGAAACGAGCGTCTTCCGGTTTGTCCTCTAATGCTATCTAGTTTATTGATACGCTGGCTTTACACAAGAAGGCTTCTCATTATGATGCTCGTGGGTCTTACAAGCGTTACTCAACCTCCCGTCGCCTTGATGCGAAGAGATTTTGTACACTATGCTCTTACCGTATGAAGGTACCTTCGGTCAATTAGCGCTTAATATCCTCTGGTCGCGAACTTTATGTGACATTCTTATCCGTAACCAGTTTAATTTTAAACAATTTTAACTGCCCAATAACCAATTTGATCCCACGGTAAAGAATAACCTGTAAACAGGTTATTCTTTACCGTGGAATGGCAATCAGCAGGGAAACATTCTTGTCCTCATGTTGCTGCAGAGTGTGCAAGTTGCATTATGGTGACCTGACTATTCGATTTGTAATCAAGATGAACGTTATACGGAATGTGAAGTGGATGGGGATCTTCAGCCAAAGAACTCATTGGAACTAGTTCATGTGATGTGCAGCGTGCCTAGGGAGATGCGCCACGTGACCTACCCCCTCCGTGTTCAACTTGTGTGATTGATCAATATTTGTCACGAAATTTTCAAAAGGGCCTGCGTATACGAGGCACAATTTAATTCCTAAAAACGAACGCATCCGTATCTAATTGTCCCCCAGTTGACTAAAGGCCTCCCTGGCTTTTCCCCTCCAAGAGGTGTCGATGCGAATCGAGTGGTGGTGTAAACTGTGTAGAAGTCATCGCCTCTCGAACGATGAATGTCTCATTTAAACATAGGTCAAATTACTCATCCTCGAGCTTTTCGGTTAGTGCCAAAATTTTGGCGCAGCTTATTTTACCATGGCCCCATGCTATCGGCATTCCATCCCTCTGCCTTATGTTCCGATTTGGGTGCTGCGAAGGATTCGTGAACGGTTTGCTATTCCCAACACTCACGGACGTTGGTTACACCACGATCGAAAGCCTTCTCTCAAGCAACCATAGTCTTTGGAGATAATGATGCGACTTTGTGTAAGAAATCTTGATCAACATTGCAGCAGATAGAAGTTTAATCCGATCTTACAGAGTCTGAGGGCTCGAAACATGTAACAACCATGATTTGAACGTATGGCTACAGGCAGGAATCAACTCCGGCTCTCGTGTGCTAAACTAGAAGCAATGGTAATCTTATTCTAAAGTAGGATGCCTTCTTTCTGTGAGGACTAATATCGTACTGAAGCGCCTTACGAAGATAACCGTGGAACATGAAAGCCCATGAACAAGCATTTTCGGAATTTCGTTCACGAGGGACAAAAGAAAGTCTCACTATTCAAGTTACCGTCATTCGATAGCGTGCTCTGGTTTAATGTAATGTGGGACGTTGTCCAAGAATGTCATTTTATCTGACTAGCATGACTGTTGCTTCCTCTAAATACTGGTGGTCAAGTTAGGTCCATTATCTTTGCAGTAGAACACGTGCTATAGATCAACAACTGCGGGAGGGAATCGAAGAAGTCAATCCCTTTCCCTTGTAATCATGGTGCCTGACAGTCAGTTTTTGGAAACTCTTCTATGACAGCTGACCCGTCAATCTTTTCCACGATAATGTCAAAGCCGGGGTCCGGTGCTGTGTGCATTCAAAATAGTGTGGCTATGTAATTTGTAAATCGAGATGGTCTGCACACATTGTAAATGATTTTGGATTTAGAGATTGTCAAAGTGAAGCTTCCTTGAAATCATAATAAACACATAGATTTTGTAAAATACTTCACATAATGCACTATGAAGGTAAAAGATGAAAGCATATGAGGTTTTGGTAAAAGTGATACTTTTGGGATCCTATTCATGTATGCTGAAACTATCAAGTAGATAGCGTATCTTTAGCTTTCATCATATTTTTATGCATTTCATGTTTTCATACCACTCAATCCTGTGAAACTTGGCTAAATGAATGGATTACATCGTAAAACATATGCAAACATGAAGATGATGCAAATCATGCAAAGAAATGCCGCATGAAGACAACAATATTTACAAATTCTTCTCATGTAGTAAACAAATTTTTTATATATATCAGAATTCAATTCATATTATGAATATGAAATTACAAGAAAAATAAAGAAGTAAGAGTCTAAATATCAAGAATCATATGAACCGTATGCGTGTAGTGTTTCGGTCAAGGCACGCTTCCTTGTGATGATTGTAAAAGCATTGGAGATCCCATGAGTTACATATTCAACTCAGCAGAAGCCAAGACTGCTACAAGAGATGAATGCAGCGGGTCTTAATGCGGACTATTATGACACACAATACTATAACTTTACATCATACGTCATCAAATTCTGTAATGTTTAGCACATTAGAGATTTGTAATAAGCTTCCTCTAGTTTGATATATTTCCCGTACATTGCATATCACAAGTAAAATGTGCAGCGAGAGTTCAATCCTGATTTAATACCTTGATGACAAATGAAGATTTTAGTGTAAATATGGTGGAAGGCAATATAGAAAGGTGGTGCTTGCTGGGGATTATTGTTCAGAGAAGTAAGCATAATAGAAATAATAAGAATAATTATATAATGAAGTGAAAAATGATTGTTCATAGATGGTTGTGATTCCAAGTGTCTGCACAATATATTACAAGACTAGTCTTGTAAGACAATGTGATAATTGCCATTACATGCACATTTTGAGTCATCCAATCGTATATATTTTTCATATATTATTTATTCTTTGTCTTCAAAGTGTGAAATAATTGAATATATAATTTACATGGTTTAAAAGACAAAGTGAAATAGTAGCCAGTACAATACAACGATGATAAGTACACTATGTTATTTTCTTCTTGTACTTCATCCAATTCCTTGATGAATGGAAACTCTTCAAATCATCTATGTCGGAGGTTGTCATTGCAAGAGCTTAAACTTTTACTCCTTATCTACAATTTGAGCTTTCATGAGATTATGCAGAACAGCAATTGCCAACAAAATTACCAATTCGGATTAAACCTACATTGCTGTTTTCAGGATGAGTACGTCTTTGTACCAAAGAAGCAGAGATTCTTCTTCAGTACTTTTGATTTGATCCCTATACTAATAGATCAAGTAGTCTATCGATATAAAAAGCTTCATTGCCAATGATCGAACATCTAATGAAAGACATAGTAAAACAATAGGAAGTAGAGAAAGAATAAAAATGCTAGCCTGTACTAACTGGTGTACAAGGAAGTACTACATATTACTGCTTTATAGAAGGAATTCACGGAAGTAATGAATTCACAAGATAATACAAATACTCTTAAAGGAGTAATTTATTATTAAACTAGTTCCATTCTGACCTGCTATCCCCTTCAGCGATAAACTTGATGATGAAGGGTGCTACAGCTAGCTTGAAATTTCTTGACCTGCTATCGCATTCAGCAATAAACCCTGTATGAAGAAACCACAAGATTTGTGGGCTAATTTGTAATTAATTTGAAAGAAAAGAAAAAAATTAGCAAGTGACAATAGTGCAAAACTCAATTTGACATTAAAAAACTCATTAAGCACTTCATTCTCTTCTTGTACTCGATGTAGTTCCATGATGGAATGGAAACTATCCATATCATTTGTGTTGGAGGCCATTACGTGCAAGAGCTTAAGCTTTAACCTCTTATCTACACTTTGTGCTTTCACGAGATTATGCAGAATAGCAATTGCGGTCGAAATTACCAATTCGGCTTAATCATGCATTGCTGTTTTCTGGATCTCGTCTTTAGGGGGAAATGTGCAGAATTACATTCTGAGTAATTGTGATAATTGTGTTTTTTTGCAGGTACGAGGAATATTCGGTAATAATTGGGTAAACCATTTGACTCTACCTTTGCCTTACCTTTACCTTAGCATATAGCCAAACCTTCAATCTTTACCCTTACCTTTTACCCTTTTACTGTGTAACCCTAAAAGGTTACTCTACCTTGCCGAGGCTTACATACTGGTCAAGAATGCATCAAATCTCTAGCAGCTCGCGATTGATCGCATCCATGTCAATTGATCCTTTCTTCCCAAAGCGTTTGTGTGATTAGATAATGTGTCGATTCTGAAAACGGTCAAGCCAACCGCTTGAGAAGTCAAACTTACCGACATCAGGGTAGAGTTTGGCGAGGAACTTAATGGTCTTTTCTTGTATAAAATCGCCGTTATTGTTCATGCGTATTTTGTTTGCATGCACCCACGCCAGCATCATCGCATCCAATCGAGGATACATGACGTTGCGATGCAATTTGACATTGCATCGATTCATTGATGTCAAATCAATGCTCATCGATTTCGATGCAGCTCCTTTGATTTCTACTGTGTGTTGGAGATCGTGGCTTGAGTGACGATCATGTTGTGCATTTTGATGAGCCATTTAACAAGATCTTTTTGAGTTACATTGGGATTTTACTTTTTATGCTGACAGATGACCATGCGAAGACCATCTGTCAAAGTGGAGCAGTGTGCGCCTTTGACAATGCCTCGTTTAGTGGCCACGATGAAGATGAATCGCGAATAAGTGGATAGTGTGCAACAAACATGTTTATATATCTTTGATGTTGGAGGCTCTAGCAGCGTGAAATGCCATGGAATGTGACTGAAGCTTGATGAACTCATTAGATTCAAAAAAAAAGTCATGAGACTATCGGAATGATCTAGAAATGATGGGTACTCTCTTAATTATTAATAGTTTTCAATTAGTAGACTTTTGTTAGCCCAATGCCATTAATTGATAGAGGTTCTACACATAAATTTTTGATACTTGAAACTACTTGGCAATAAAGGGCTATTGCTTAATGTTGATAAAGTTGAAATAGAGTTTTGTGAGAATTACGTTATGGATAAACATCATAGTAAAACTATTAGCATTGACCTCATAGTTGCAACAAATTAGTCAAAATGTTTAAATGACATTTTGACACAAGATGATATCCATATGTAGATACGTAAAAATAATGATGAAAGTTTACGTTGAAAAAGTTTATAAGTTTAGTATAAAGTTCAAAGAGTAAAAGATAGCTATTTATCAAACTGCCATCTATATTTTGCAAGAAAATATTGATCATGAGAAGAGCAACGTTGTAGAAAATGTAGAATAAGCTTATCCAAACTAAAATATCACTCAAATTTTGGACTAAGGCTTTGAGGATTGTATTGTATTTTATAAGATATTGTTTTACAACAATCAATATCTTAACGAGATTTGAATTGAGTCATAGATAAATGGCTGATTTCAATCCTTTATGAAGTTTTGATTGTGATATTTGTACCTTCCATGTCTAGAAAAGATATACCAAGTTGTGAACAACCAAACAAACCAAATCGGTGTGTGGCTATCAAGAATTCTTTATTTCTTGAATAATATAATAGTGTGAAGATTAAAAGTTATATACTCATGTAACATATGAGATTTTTGTAGGAGTTATGTTTTTTTAACCCATTTTATTGAACAGCAAGAATACATTTTTACTCATTGATATTGTTGAGTAAAATTATCAAACTTAAAGATTATAGAAGTGTGATACAGAAAAAACTCTTGGATATTTCTAGTAAAATGAGTCACTTAGCTCATTTAAAATGCATGAAATGAGTTTTGCATTTTATGACATGAGTCTAATGAGTTTTAGGTTATAAAATATTTCAAATCATTGATTTAGTACGATTTTATTTATCAATTGCTTGAAGGTTGATAATTAATCTTATATTATCTAGGCCATTGACCAAATATCATGAAAAAAGAAAACAATCATATAGATGTATTCTTTCATCTCAATATTTAAAAAAGTTTTCTAGTAGATGCCCGAATCTTTGAGGAAACTTTGTTCTATCAAACAAAGTTTCATCATAATCTTACTTCTCCAAGCCCCCGACTCTGCTTTAAGGGTTACTCGAAAAAATGTAACATCCCGGAACAGCTATCGTATAAAAACGGTCATGATAAAAATCACTACAAACTATTGACCTGATGATCTTTAAAAAATATTCTCTAATAACACGAGGTGACAATACAGAATCTTGTCATAATCTTAAGTATCGTTTGATGTTTATTGAACTAAAGATGGAATTATAATATCAACTCCTCATAGTATTTGTTTCAATCTAGTATTGATTCTAAATTACCAATATGGCTCAAATAACCTATTTAATCTTTATTGGAGTGAAATTAATAACGATTGAAAACTTAAGACTGGTACATTGAATAGCTAGTGGTGCAACTTAGAGAATCTAAACTCAAAAGTGGATTCGATTGATCATCAATATATAGTACCTGCATACAGTTACAAGATATTCAGGATTTATTAATTCCATCTTCAGGATTAAAATTGTAGATTGAATGGCTTACATCCAAGAAATAAAAAAATAGTGATATTTGATATGGTAACAATGTATCTGATGATGCAATTCTATTTGAAAGATTATTTATATTGTAATATATACATGAAATGCACAATGAATTGAAACGAACTTAAATCCAATACATAGAAATGCACTACTACTACAGTATAGCTATCATTTATACAAGAGATATCGTGACTTGTATTCACTGTATCAATTTTCGATCTTTCTTATATCCAATTTGTTCTATTATATATACTGGTATGAGGTTAAGAACTATCATAACCACGTACTCTTTCGTGAATGTGGAGATTCATGCGTTTAGAAGGAATGCATGAATTTTCGGTGTAATGAGTGGAGCAAATGTGGCGAAGGGCGAGGCTCACTTGCTGTGTTAGGAAAGGAGAAGATCATCCACAAATCCAGCAACTCTTAAAAGTTCATGTCAAAGGTTCAACAATTCAAATAATGTGCTTTACACTTAACTAAGTAGATCAAACCAAACAATGTATAGAATTCATCATCTTTTGTAGCCATGTTGATGTACCAAGATTCTTCGTTTCTGTCTTCAATACAACAAAGTACTTTTTTAAGCGTTAATTCTAACATGATAATATTTTTCAGTTCTTATTTAATACTTACCAGAAATTTTAGAGAGCGCGGCACCAAATTCAGCCTTCACCGTATTGACGAGAAGTAACCACATCACTTATTAAGCTCTCCTGGTGTATGATTGATATGACCGGACTGCGTTAGAGACATGAAGGAGAACTCCAAACAATAATATAAGTTCTCGAACTAAATATACACGTCAATACATTTCAGACCAAAGCACCATGCAAGTTACAACAACTTGGGCGATAACTAAACCGAGGCAGAACAGAATTAGCAGAGGGGAGATTGGAGGGGCCGCCAAAAGAAGCACGGAACGAACATCAAAACAAGGAACAAACAACAAGAACCGCCAATTTAGGCGCTCGCAGACCGAACGCACGGAGCGAACTAAACACCGAATTTAGCAACGAAGGAATGATTTAGGGTGGGAAAGTGAAGTTCGAACCACGCTCGCACGCGAGCGCAGGAGGTTCGAAATCGAGGTTAGTGAAATTGAGAACGCAGCGAAGGAAAGATCGATCGATCGACTGGACCGATCGTAAAGCCATGGCGGACGACAATGAGCCTTTGTTGCCGACGACGGGCTCGGCAGCAGCTGCGGGCGTAGGAACTAGACGAATTTCGCAGCAGCACGTGGAATTGAACGAAAACCTAGCGTCTGCAGTGTTTTCGTCCAAGCGCAAGCGCCCGGGAGCAGCGGGCGAGGAGCTCGCAGGAGCCGGGGCGGGAGCAGTGGGAGAGAGCGCTGCGGATGCGAGCTTGGAGAGCAGTCGATTAAAGCGCAGGAATGGAGCTGGAGCGTTGGAAGGAGGCGGGGGAGGCATGGAGAAGGGCACTTGGGGCGGGAAGGTTCTCGCTGGGGGCCCAGGTGTTTCTTCTTCTCCGGTGGAAGGGGCGCAGACGAGGAAGAGGAAAAGCCTCGAGAAGCTGGCTGCTGTCGCCGGTGCGGCTGCGGCGGAAGACGATGGGGGAAGCGTTTCCCCGTCGCGGGAGGTTGTGAAGATCAGCACTAATAGCAGCAGCAGCAAGAAACGAAAGCCTGCCGTTGGGGACGAGGCCGTATACGGAATGAAGGACGGCCCTGAGCCGAGCGATGAAGGCAGAGTTTCGCAAGGTATGTCGGTCGTTTCGTCTTTCCTCCTTCCCCTGGTCGGTCGGTCAATTCTGGGGTTTACATTCCATTTCTCTTGGTTTTACGTCCCTAAACCCTCTTTTATTTCCAGCGTAATTAGTAGGTGGTCTGTCTCTCAAGGTCGAGTTTGGTAGGTTGGGATGTGTGAGCTCTTTGTTCGTACGGCCACGTCTATGCTGCAACATAATTTTAATGAAGAATATTTTTTCTCATTCGTACCTTCTTGGCTTTTTTATCTCGCTTCCTTTGGGACCGAATCTGGATGTTCGGGGCAATCAGCTTTATCTCCTCGTATAGCTTGATCTGGCAATTGCCCCACGTCCCAGACTCTATTCGATAGCAGTCGAATTGCATTTTGGAGGTGTAATCTTAGCAAGAATCTGGTGCTGAACTGGGACAGGGGCCATTTTGAGAAATCAGCATGTGATATCGTTGTTGGGGTTGGGTTCTTGATGCTTAATGGTGATGTAATTCACGAATTCTAAAATTAGAATTGTGCTCTTCGCACTGCGATCAACGTTTGTTGTCAAATTTGACTCAGACATGTTAGTATGTGGGGGTCTACGAAGACTAGGTTTGTTCAGCTCTGTGCAACGTGTAGTTTTGGAAGTCCGCCTTCTTGAGACTACTTTGTGCAAGCTGATCAAGCAGAAGCTCGAACGAACGAGAATGATTTTATAGTACTCCAGAATTGTGTGCTGCCTTTCCTGGTGGGTCTTGAAATTAGCGAGTGAAGGGTTTGGCAAGTTGAGCCAGAAAAGTAGGGACTTGTGTCTGTTTTTTTGTCAGTCCTCCTTATATTCTGAAAGTGCCTACCAGGTCTAAGATTACGATTCACTCGCAGCGGGAATTCTCTTGCCGCTAAAAAAGTTACATGTGAGGAGGACACGCGGACTGGAAGCGCTGGAGAACACACCGAAGGGCCCAACATTAGAAGCAGAGGAAGTTTTGACGTGGCCAATCGAAGCGGCGAAGGGGAGCCGTGGACAATGCCTGCCCAAGTGAGAGATCAGAGTCATCCTTCAGCTGGGGATGGCCATGGCACGCCTGCTAATGCAAGCAATGCTAAAGTTTCTGAGAAATCACCTCTTACTCGTGAACTGTATCGGATACCTAGCCACGCAGGTCAGTGTTTCTATTTACGACCTGAAGAAGGATTGCATCAGGGATTGTCGTAAGGATTTCGATGATTGACATCTTAAGTAAAAAAATTGGTTTGAATCCGAATGACCAAGAAAGAATCTTAGTGACTCTTCGTCTGTGATACAGGGTGGTTCTCTTGGAGCAAAATACATAATATCGAAAGGCGATCCTTGGGCGAGTTTTTTGACGGAAAGTCTTTGTCGAAGACTCCTAAGATATACAAGGAGTATAGGGATTTTATCATCAACAAGTACAGAGAGAAAGAACAGCGATTGCTAACTTTTACCGAAGTTCGCCGGATGCTTATCGGAGATGTCAATGCTTTAAGAAGGGTTTTTGACTTCCTGGATCACTGGGGTCTTATCAACCATCAAGTTGGAACTGAATCGAATCAGGAGGCGTCTCCGACACCCATTACTGATGATGGAGTACCCAGTGGTGTGCGAGTGGCCCTGGGTCCCGTAGTTAGCCCTGTTCTCCAATCGGAGTCTTCTCTCGGTGTGTCCAGTCCTTTAACTGGCTTGCAGTTGCATGCTCTTCCGTCATACAGGAATGTGTTTGCTCCGGTAATTCCTGCGGGTGAAGCCGAGAAAATACCTCTTAAGTTTAACTGCTCTTCTTGTGGAGCAGACTGTTCGAAAATCAGATTTCACTGTCAAGACGAGATTCAGGTCGGTGACAAGTTGGATTATTTTAAGTATCATACCGAGGGCGATGAATGTGATGCTGATTGTCTTTTTGTAGACTTCAAAAGTTCCAATGCAGCATGACGCGATGATTTTACGAGGATGCTTGTTTCGTTGTTTTGGCGCTCGATGTCCGGTATATCTTTATTTGAGTAATCATTCTCCTGGTATTACAGCTCAATTATTGCTGACTAGATACGAGGAGATTGTTGTCTCAGCACCCTCTTCTGGGATGGATTAGCAGCTTTTAACTTACAGCAGCTTTCCTTCCCGAAGTGATTGACTTTTTATTCATATTGCAGGCGGGGTTAGATCTGTGTCCTACTTGTTATAAATCTGGAAAGTTTGGACCTATGCGAGTACCGAAAGATTTTGTGCGAATCAATGGGGAGAGCGATTCTACGGGTGATCGATGGACGACTAAGGAGACTTTGAGTTTGCTGGAGGCAATTGGACGTTTCGGTGACAACTGGAATCAAGTAGCAGATTACGTTGGCACGAAGTCGAGGGGGGAGTGTGTGAAGCAGTTCATTCGTCTACCTTTTGGTGATAGATTTTTAAATGATGCAGGAGCTGACTCACCAGCATTTATGGATGGAGAGAGGATGCTTGTTGATTGTGATGAGGAACCAAGGGTATCGGATGAGGTTCACGAGACAGAAGGAAATATAAAGTCCAATGGTGGGAAGCACTCAGCTGTTAGAGGTTGCCCCGTGTCGGGAAAGTCTGGAAGACGGTCAACGAAACAAGAGTTAACTCCGCTGCAAGATGTGAATAATCCGCTTCTTGGCCAGGTATTGGAATGACATTTTGTCATAGACTTACTTTGTCCAAGAATGCAGCGTCCCTAGCCTTGCTCTATGCTCTGTTTGTGTTAACGCCCATTCCTGGAGGACCTTACTTTTGACTGGTGTCACGTCGCATGCTGTTATGGGCTAGTAGGCCTAGGGGACTGTTATCTCCACGACTGACGGACCGGTGAATTATGTCTTGCTAGGTAGCTCTTATGTCTGCTATGGTTGGTTCTCGAGTGGCAGCTGCTGCTGCTCAGGCAGCCATCATCACAATTGCTGAAGACGACCCTGCTTTGGCAAACCATTCAATTATGAATAGGTACTCTACACCTGGAGCTCAGCAGAATTTTGACAGGTAATGTCGGCGAGAACATTGTAATTTCTGACTGGCTGGTACTTGACCTTCTTTTTATAGTACTGGATTTTCCTACTTCTTGCAATTGATATATACTTAACCTTTGTAGGCCGATGGGTTTCAGGTTGTTACATTCATATGTAACATGCTTCATGTAACTTCAAGAAGAGTTTATACTTTCTCCCAGACTTCCAGTGATATGAACCTACCCTGTTACAGATTTTATATCAAGATATCTACTGGTTGCTTACCACCCGTCGCGAACTTTGTTGTATATCCTCAATCATACAATATCCGATAATATATGTCGTTCAATGGCTTATGTTTTGCAGCCGATCTAAGGAGCCTTCTAGACCGGAGACGCCGGCGCAAGGAGTTTTAGCCCAAGAAGGTATATATGACGGATTTAAAAGGAATTGTATAAACTATAGGATGAGCCCATTTTCATCACGAATGACGAGATATAGGGACGAAGATGGTCTGTTACTTCATGCACACCTGTATCGTGTGCGAGAACGTCTCTACTTTCCTTCAAGGAATATTCTGTACGAAAGTTGACATCTTAGACTTTTGTTTTGTTATCCCTGTGGCTCTTTTTGTTACAGTGGAAAGAGAAGCAGATGGAGGCCCATCAGCGGTGCAGCTTCAAGTAGGCATTGCCACAGGTCTGGCTGCGGCAGCCGTTAATGCAAAACTACTAGCTGACCAGGAAGAACGGGAAATGGAGCTGCTTATGACTGACATTATAGAGAACCAGGTTAGTTCTTCCAATCTTGACTTCAAAGGTTTCCGTATTAAATTTCCAATTATTTCATTTACAACTATCCCTCCATCGAATCAAACTAATGCATGGAAGGTTTTGTGATGCGTTTATATACAAATAAATAGCTGGGTCAAAAGATTGAAATAGGAGTGGAACTGAGCCGGGTCCTTGTTTGTACTGTCAGATGAAAGCACTTTATGCCAAGCTGGAACATTTCGATGAGCTAGAAATGCTTCTAGAGAGAGAGCGCATACAAATTGAGCAAGCTAGACAAACACAATTCTTACAGCAGATCCAATTTACGGAGTCTCGACTTCATTTGACAAGGCATGGCTGAAGTTTAGTGGATTATTTCTTTTTAGTCATTTCTTAGGACTTCTCCTTATGAGAAGATATGCTTACAGGGTGGTAGTCATATGTTGGCTGCCGATACGTAGTTGAAGATAGCTTCTATCCAGTAATACCTCAATATTCAGTGATCTACCTTTCTCCATCTGAGCTTGTCTGTCCGAATCAATTTTAAAGAGAAGAGTGGAAGCAAACCATCCCACAAGGTACTTGTGCAATTATTGTTGTATGTATGATACTGTATTTTGTATGCACGCTCACTTTCTGCTGTTGATTGTAGCATGTGGATCTCTCTTTGGTATTCATTCACATTCCTTGCTGGGCACCAGTTTACAATTGTCTTCCAGTTTCTGAGTTAATGTCTTACTTTCTTTCTCCTTACTCTCTAGTTTGCTTCCAACTTCATCTGCACCAGACTCCCGCTTATTTATCTACTACATTCAACCTGAATCGTACTGAATTACATGAGACTTGTTTTCATACTGCATTCCACATCCATATCTTTTGTTTGGGAGACGCATCTTGCATCGAGGATAAGGTGATCACCAATTAGTACGGATCTCATGTGATGACGTTCAGGTGTAACTTGAGGTCTACACTACTGCTCATGAACAAGAGGGTCTGATGGGTTGATTAAGTTTTGGAAGTAGCTGGAGCTGATTGAAGCACACTCACGAACCCACTGGATAAGCGCCCATTAATCTTGTATACAAGGATGTCGGAAAGAATGTATCAGGTGATTCTCAGGAAATGTGGCTACCTCCCTTTGATGTAGTCCAACCGGAAACCTGGAAAAAACATATTTTTAGTCAAATGGTGAAAATTCCACTGCAAGAAGAGCAAAAAATACACCGCCGCATAAGCGACAAAGGTGAACATGTCTGGCGAAATTTGAGTTTTTAACCTGAGAACCAAAACCAACTACCTAGATGAGATCACCTCTGATCGTGTGTGTGCACCTTGAACCGTGGTGATTCCGACCCACTGCTCTTGAACTTTTTGCCTGCACTGAGAGCCGCAACCGGATGTTGTTTCTCCAGCAATGGAACCATGCCGTTCTGGCCATTCTGGCCAGGTCAACAGTCGCATCCCACAATGCATGTTCCAGTTGAGCAATGGACTATTGGGTGTTCTTGAAGATGCATGCGTTCTGTCTCAACCAAATAACGCACATGATGGAGTCTTGCATGACCGAGTATTGGTAAAATAGCCTAGGCCTCATAAAATTTGGCATTATATTTTTAGATGCCAAATTTGCCAAAAGTAAAAACTCAAAGTTAACAAAATTAAATGGTTATCTTTATTTTTGCAAAAATTCAAATATCGAATATTTAAAAAAATTAGAAAATAAAAAAATGATTTTATAATCTTTTAAAAAGATAAATATTTAAATCTATTTTTTTAAATATATTAAAAAATATAAAAAATATAATATCATATTAACAACATATGTACTTTAAAATTTATCAAAATTGTTGAGTTCTTTATAAATCATTACTTTGGTCAATTATGAAAAAATGGACAATAAATGAATTCAATATATGATTTAATTTTTATTTTAACACTTGAATTTTATATTTGCGTATTAAACTAACTATTTTTTACAATTAATTTTTTTTTATATAATAAAAAAATAAGCTCAATTTTTAAAAATCTGATAAGATATAATTTTTTTTAAATAATCTTCAATAAATTATAAATTCTGAATTTTCAACATATATGTTTTTAAAGTATAATGAAATTCTAATTCATAACTTTTTTTCTATGCTTAAATTTTTTAAACCATGATTTTGGATCATGATCATATATATCTTTTATGCATTCTATTTTGATTTGCATAATTATTTGACATGTTCATCCAAAAGCTAGTTGGGAATAGACATTTATTTCTTATTATTGTTCAAATTTTATTTTTTCTTTGACTTATTAGAAATATCAATTCTCTTGATAAATGATTTCAATCTATCAACCTTCATTATGTGACCTTAGGAAAGTATAAGTGTATGTATTTTCTTTGCTAAATCTTCTTATTTATGAGTATTCTGTATATCTTTCTTGTATGATTGAAGCTACTGATGACTCCATTGTTTATGATATCATGCATTTTTTGGAATAAGATGGTGGAAACCATTGAAATTCAATCTCTCACATTAGAATACACACAATGCCAATTTCGCCAAAATTACCCAAAGAAAATTGCCAAAATTTATTTAATTTTCAAACTTGGCATTTGCCACAAACTATGAGGCCTGCATTAGCCTCCCAATGCCAATGCGCATTTCTTTAGGTACGCATTCCAATTAAGTACGATAAAGTGCATACTTAATTAAGTGCGCACTTTATCCAAAGATTTTCAAGTATCAACATTTTCAGCGAATTCGTCATAAATTTCAGGGATTCCAACAATTTCAGAGATTTCATAGTCAAGACTAGACTACTGCCCCATTCAATGCCCTGGGGCAAGGGAAGGCAAACTAGAGAAATCTAACCATCAAGGGCCGGGTTGGAAAAAGGCGGAGATGCAAATATCTCGTTCCAATAATCTAGTATTTTGCTTCTTCATATCATGAAACATCTAGCGCAAAAGTGATCACGTGACACCTGGAAAAAATGGGAGTATCATATGGTGCATGATACCCATATTATAAATGGGGGTGGGAGTGGGAAAGGAAGCGCTCGAAAATATGCAGAATACCACAAAAATAATGGCGTGATGCCAAGGATCCGAAAGATGGCGACCGGAGGGGGCCGAGAAAGTTGTCCACTAATTGCTATATGCATCATTAATTTCATACTCACGCACTACAGCGAGTTTGCTTGGAGTATTCTACTTTCTCAATTTTGAAATGATGTCACATTGTGAAGACTCTTTCAATCATTTGATATTCAATTTTTTGAAAATGAAAGCTCTAGGCAAATGATCTGGAAATGAAAATGTTAAGTACGAATCTCTCCGTTAAGTACGCACAAAAGTTAAGGGTTGAAGTTGCATACTTAAGTGGGAGATGATTGTTTTTTGGAGTATTTGTCAAATTTTTTGAGGCATTTTTCATGAAATACGTTAGCTAATCCGAACGTCGTACAGTTAGTCCGATCTGGAAAATCTGTAGCTTTAGACTTCGTGAGCAGAATTGGAAAGGAAAATAGGTCGGAGCTTGCATGATCTGAAGGAAGGAAGGAAGGAAAAAAGCTTAAGGTTGAAATCTAGCGCGAAGAGTGAGATTGTTCACAAAGCTCAGCATTATTTGCAGAATTTAATCTTAACAACCTTTTTGCTTATCTGCTGATGAATGAAGCAGTGGAAGTTAGATTTGCGCATCGGTGATAATGCCTGGGTTGTACACTAGTGATCACCATCATCATTTTTGGGAGTTTTTTGTCGTGTGTTCTTGAGGCAGTCGAACGGTGAAAAGGCAAAAACTATGCGTGTTAAGTGAAATTTATGGAGGCTAAATCCTCCACTCGGACTAAAACACTTAAGGGTGAAATGTTAAAGCTTACATAAGTCAATAATAACTTGAAACTTTATAACCTTGTTTTCATGCTCTTCACACCTAACATACACAACATCACGAGAGTTGGAAGACTACAAGCAAAACCATGACGTGAATGACAAAATTTCTCAAATTTTGACAAACAAATTGAATATAATCATGATGTGAATGTAAAATTTGAGAAAATTTTGACAAACAAATGTTAGTGAGACTTACGATGTCATTGTAGTATGTTTTCATTGTAAGATTTGGTTCTAGCTACATGAGAATCTATTTTTGAGTAACAAAAAAACTATCGTTACCTCAACAAACATTACAAGTTTTAGTAGCAGACTTCTTATGTAAAAAACTTCAAGCAATGAATGTGTAAATTAATTTGAGTAAAAAGCATAATTGTGCAAGACTTAATTGTGCAAGACATAATTGTGAAAATCTAATTAAGATTTTGAAAATCAAATTAAGATTTTGAAAATCAAACAAAAACTTAAGTTGCCAATGACATTGTACTACACTAAAGCATTCTATTGAGATCCATATATTCTCATAACAACATGACATGGAATATAAATAAAGTTCATGAAAATGGCTAATAGAGATGTTCATTAAAGAACATAACAAGATTAAACATGAACATTGCACGAATTATGATACACTGCAGTTTTAGTAGATGTTGATGATCATAAAGATGTGCGCGGTAAGAAAAACCAACAAACTGAATAACTAACTACAACAAATAGCAAGCTCTTGTTGCCCATCCAAAGTCCGCTGCTTTTGATACTTTTGAGTTGGCGAACATGAGATAAACAAGTAGTATGTTAGGAGATTCAACAGAAGACAGGGATTTAGAACTTCTATGAGTCAAGATAATCATTTAACGTTTTGATCTCATAATGCTATGAGATTATTAAATCTTTGTTGCTTATTAGTGACAATTGGATTAGTTTATTCATAGCTAAATAATATAAGAACCTCACTCGTTTGTGTATATTCAATGTACACTAGAAAGTTAAGAGATTTAAGTTCATCAAAACATCAATGACAAGGATCGGACATGGATCAAATAGCAAAACTCAAAGATCAAATTTAAAAAAAATATGATAAATTAGATGCATGCTTTCATAGTTAGGAATCTCGGACGAAGTCATGGAGTAGTGAAGGTAAGTAATGCAATTACAATGATAGACCTTGGATGTTGCTTGATCTTTCCACTTAGAATACCAAATATTTGAAAGTTTGTTGATGCTTGTTTGCTCATCTATTCTTCATTCTTCATTCATAATCGTTCAAAGAATTAGAATTTCATCCATCACTTATTCTTTCTTTCTATTTGCTCAAAGATTCAAATGTATATTTCAACGAGTCAGCTGAATTTCATTTCACTTCACTTCACATACAACAAGACTAAAATTGTGCTCTTTAATTCACTACTACCTATATCCGAGTAGATAAAAGATCGGCCAAGTTAGATAAAAGATCGGCCAAGTTAGTCTTGACTCTGCATTGAGACAAGTCAAAACTTGGACTTTTGCAGTCGTTGCGTTCTTTTTTTAAGCAATTGCAAGATTGGCTGAATATCATTTACCTCCATATCAAGATGGTTTCAAACTCCGACGATGATATAATTTACTAGATGCACAAATGATCTAGAGGAACCAAAAAAGAAATTGTGGAATGAAGTTGATAGTGTATTTTTGTTGCGCAAGAACCTTGCTGATATGAAT